GGGGGGGGGCTAAGTTCATGTATTCGCTACATCTATTGTGTGGTCGTAAAGACAAGTCTGGACCAATGGATGAATCAAACTAATGGTCATGATCTAAGGGACTATGTGTAACGACCCAAAAATCAGAGGTAAAAAATTCATTGTTATTATAGCTAAAACATTGATACCATTTATTTCAAACATGTCAAATCCTCATTAAGTAAAACGTTTATCAGAGTTCGTCCCAAAATCATTGATTGCGGAATCATATGTGTATGCACTGCGATCAATCCGAGCCCTTCATTTCCAAATCGATGAACCCTGAAACCAAAACTGTAATCCGTAAGCACAAAGCTTAGTGAGTCCCCCAGAGCATACCCCACACACACAATCCACATAACACATATCGTATTAGCTGTAAAAGCTATCTCTACCGTTATTACATATCAATCAACGATAAAAGCTACTCTACCACGAATCACATAACAACTAGCTATAAAAGCTATCTCTACCATTGGCACATATTAATTAGCTATACAAGTTATCTCTACCGTTAGCCACAAAGGCTATCTCTACTATTAGCCACAAGGTTATCTCTACCATCAGCCATAAAGGCTGTCTCTACCATTAGCCACAAGGCTATCTCTACCATCAGCCATAAAGGCTATCTCTACCGCATATCACGCATACATACATATCACACACCTCTACATAGCAAGTATACCAACTTATCATAAAATGGGCCGACCTTGGTGCCTTGGTATGGTGAGAAGACTCACCTCTCGACTGCTAAACTGATAAGCTGAAATCAGACATATCCCACACGCTACTCCTTCTCAACTGCCCATAATCATCAGGTGATTAGCTTAACACAATCCCATAAATACCCTCAGGTCAACCCTGGTCAAAGTCTATGTCTGTAGTCAGGGTCAACAATCCATATTGACCTTGACTCGTCGAGTACAATTAGCCACTCGTCGGGTTCCTTGCTTAACTCGTCAACTCGCCGAGTCACCCAAGAGACTCGTCGAGTTCCTTGATGTTCACGGCCGTAAACTCCCAACCGAACACCATTGACCGTGAACCCTTGGCCGTAAACCCTTGGCCACGAATGAGAAAACCCTCCCGACTCGCCGAGTCACAAGAGCGACTCGACGAGTTCCGACGTATTCGGTCCTTTCCAGTGGGATTTAAGGTCCCAAACTTCAGATCCATATTCTCCTAGTGATAATACCACGTAAAGTTGCGAACTTTACGTTCATATTAAGTCTCATAATGCCAAAACCACCTCAACAAGCTTCTTACAAGTCCCAATGCATGAATAAGAATTAGGGTGCACCGAGGAGACAACTTTATGACATTTGGGACCTAAGAAGTTCCAGATCTGGAACCATATCCTTGTGATAGGTCCAGATACAAACTTGGTTCCATTCCTCAAGGATGGCCATAATCTTCCAAAAGAAATCTAAGAGCTTTAAGCTTTAAGCTAACAGATTAATACCTCAATAAGGTGCCCAACACGAAATAGATACTCGATCTAGTGCTCCTTCCTTGATACTTCCTCTTCAAGCTTGAAATCCTCCCCAAAATCCTAAAGACAAGCTCCCAAATGCTCTCTCTCTTCACACACAAAAGATTTGCGGCCGAGAACAATTGCTAGGGTGTAAAAATGGAAGGCTATGAGGCAGCTAATGATGTTTATATATGGGGAAAACTCCAAAATTAGGGTTTTCTCCCTACATCACTGACGCGCCGAGTCAGGCCTTCCGACTCGCCGAGTCGGTCCCGATCCGTGACCTCGATTAAATGCCTCCACTCGACGAGTTGGTCTCTCAACTCGCTGAGTCCATGCACCACAACCCTAAAATTCAACCAAACCCAATAATACCTGGATCAGATGTTACAAGTCTCCCCCACTTGAACTAGACTTTGTCCTCGAAGTCTGCTGACCCGAACACATCTGGGTAATGCTCTCGCATCACCTCTTCCGGCTCCCAAGCGATACGCCACCTTGCCCATCCGGGCCGAGATCCTGAACGGCCTGTATACCGAGGCCCCATCTTGCCTCTCTTCCGAAACCTGATAATCCCTTTCCAGGGAGACACCTTCAGCAACACGAAATCCAAGAATGAACGAATTACTTGCAACCTGATCATATCTGCTTCATCTAACAGCTGAAGCCTCGGGGTGGACTATCTCCCTGACAGACTGCCCACATTGAATTATCAACGAACTGGTCCCACCAGAAAACCAGTCTAAATAGAATATTGATGGGTTTTGAGCATTCTAACACTCCTATGGTGTACATGCAACCCTAGAAACCTTGGATCTAT